CAAATCCCACCCTTCAGTCTCCACTTCAGGTTAGGGCGGACTGGGGGGGTTGGGGGCCCCCCCCCCTTTTCTCACTTAAAGGCAAGGTCGATGGGGGAGGTTGCGGGCCCCCCCCTTTCCATGCCACAGAGCAAGGGCTGGTTCAGGGGGGTTGGGGCACCTCCCCCCTTTCACTCACAGAAGCAGGGCCCAATCAGGGGGGGTTGGGGGCTCTGTTACCTTTTCACAACACAAGAGCAGGGTTTGATCAAGGGGGTTGGGGGAACTCCCCCCCTTTTCACGCACAGGAGCAGGACCCCATCAGGGGGGGTTGAGGAGCTTCCCCCCCTGTCACCCCCAGAGTAGGGCCCAATAGGGGAGTAGGGGGCCCCCCCCCTGTTACACACAGAGCAGGGCCGATCAGGGGGTTGGGGCACTGCCCCCTGTCACACTGAGGGCAGGGCCAAAGGGGAGGTTATGGCTCTACCCTGTCACACACAGAGCAGGGCCCGTGGCGGGGGGGCGGGCGGGGGGTTGGGGCGCCTTCCCCTGTCACACACAGAGCAGGGCCAATCAGGGGGTTGGCCGCTGCACCCTGTCACACACAGAACCGCAGGGCGATCAGGGGATTGGGGAGCTCCCCCCTATCAGGCACAGAGCAGGGATGATCAGGGGTTGGGGTGCCTTCCCCTGTCACGAACAGAGCAGGGCGGATAGGGAGGTTGTGGCCCCGCCCCCTGTCACACACAGAGCTGCAGGGCGATCAGGGGGTTTGGGCACTGCCCCCTGTCATGCTGATCCCGGTGCCGGGAGCCTCGCTGCTCCGCTGATCCTGGTGCTGGGAGGCATATTACCCTTTTACTATATAGGATAGAGGCCTGGTGCACGGGTGGGGGCTGGCTGGTTTGCCCTGAAGGGTGTCCTGGATCAGGGTGGGGGTCCCCACTGGGGTGCCTGGCCAGTCTGGCTGAGGGGCTGAGGGCTGTTTTCCGGTTGGCGAGTGACTGAAGCTCCCAACCGCTCCTTGTTTTCTTTTTTTTTTTTTTTATTCTGGGCCAGCTTTAGCTCTGAGGCCTCGCCGCTGAAAACATCGATACAAAGTTTTGGTCCGGCTGGCTTTCAGTCCGGCTGGTTTCTGGGGTTTTGTTTAGCTTCTTATTTGCAACATAGTACATAGTTGCTTAGAGTTGCAGCTGAGAGGCCGGCAAGTGAGGCGGGGAACGTTGGAGTCCGCAGCAAGCAAGCCTCATGCTCCACTTCAGTGCCTGGCTGCCGGCCGCCATCTTGGCTGACAGTTAATTTGCATATACTCACTGATTAGCCAATGAAAAGGGTAGCAGTCGTACGCTAATTACCATGTTTCTCTTTTATTAGTGTAGATAACTATGTATGGTGCCCAGTGGTACTTGAAATATGGGGGATCCCATAATACCGTATACGATTGACTAACCACTACACGG